TCCTCATCAATGCCCACTAGTGCCACCTCATCAGTGCCACCTTATCAATGCTGCCTATCAGTGCAGCCTCATCAGTGGAGTAAAATTACCTGTTTGCAAAATGTTATAATAGAAACAAAGAAAAACCTTTTTTTCAAATATTTTGCATTTTTTTTGTTTATAGTGCAAAAAATGAAAATCCCAGTGGTGATTAAATACCACAAAAAGATAGCTCTATGTGTTTGAAAAAAATGACACAAATTTCATATGGGTACAGTGTTGCATGACTGCGCAATTGTCATTCAAAGTGCAACAGCGCTGAAAGCTGAAAATTGGTCTGGGCACAAAGGAGGTACAAGTGCCCAGTAGGCAAGTGATTCAATTTGGGGCTGCATTTCTGCAAATGGAGTTGGAGATTTGGTCAGGATCAATGGTGTCAAGGCTGAGAAATACAGGCAGATACTAATCCATCATGCCATACCATCGGGGATGTGTGTGATTGGCCCTAAATTTATTCTGTAGCAGAACAACGAACCCAAACATACAGCCAACTATCTTCAGCGTAAAGAAAAACAAGGAGTCCTGAAAGTGATGGTTTGGCTCCCATGGAGTTCTGATCTCAACATCATTGAGTCTATCTGGGACTACATGAAGAGCCAGAAGGATCTGAGGCAGCCTACATCCACAGAAGATCTGTGGTTAGTTCTCCCAGATGTCTGGAACAACCTACCTGCCAAGTTGCTTCAAAAACTGTATGTAAGTGTACCTAGTAGAATTGATGCTGTTTTGAAAGCTACGGGTGGTCACACCAAATATAAATTTTATTTGAATTTCTCTTCTGTTCATTTACTTTCTGTTTTGTGAATTGATGAAAATAAACCATTAACAATTCTATTTCTGAAAGTTTTCTTAAATTTACAGAATTTTTGCCCACCTGCCTAAAACTATTGCATTATACTGTATATGATATAGATATTGATGCACCCTCTCTGCAGTCAATGTTTTAGGGTCTCTGGAATCATATGACTCACTGCCTAAAATGACCCACCCAGAAATAATTCTAGAAATATAGTATTAAATAATATTTCCTGTCCGGTGAACACTTGAAGTGTTATATTTTTCCCAGATCATTCACAATTTTTCTTTCTTGTCTGGACAAGCACTTTAAAGGGAATGAAAGTGAATAAAATATAAATATATATTAGTCTTTTTCCAGGTAAATATAAAATGGCATATCAGTACATTAAATTGTCACTATTGTCACTTCCACCCAGATGGTGGCACTCTTGGCTCTTCAGGTTACTCTTGCCCACTTCCCTAAAAAAAGCAGTTTTTTTACAATGTTCAATAGCTTAAGCTAAAATTCACATGCACAACTAAATGAGCCAAGCCAGCGATTTATCTCCCTTACAGTCTGCCAGCTATAAACATCAATTAAAAATCTTATAACTGAATAAAACGAAAAAAAAAAAAAACAAAAAGAACAAAAAATGTATATACAGCAGAGCAGGCACATAATAAAAGACTGAAGTGAGCATATCTGTCGTTGACACTGAAGCTGTACAATAGAACAGCAATGATCACTAATACAGTATATTGTATTCAGGAATCAATGCAGTTTGAACTGACTGACCTTAGCAGTTTTATTGTTCAAATCTGCTTGTAATCTATTTTCTCTATACAATGAAACCAGTGGGAAATTCACCTTTCTGCTCTCAGCTTCTAGAAACAATACAGTAGGCCAGAGCCACTTTAAAAGTGTTAACGTGTACTAACAAAAGTTGTGCCTTCTCATTCCACTTTGTGTGACAGTGGTACAAGCAACTTCTCATAATATGACTATACAGTGATGACCAGCAATTTTAAATGTATAACAGAGCACAGCATACAATTGGGCAATGTTTCATGCAGCTGAATTAATGGGGGGGGTTACATACCACAGTTCTCCCCAATACAGTATATTCAGCACACCCCATCTTACACTTCTATACCACACTTGCCCATCACATCTCATACCTTCAGAGAGCTCTACTGGTAAATAAGTAGGCATTCACTTGTCTGGCTGCAGGCAGATCTAATGATCTCTTTTCATGTAAAGCTCAGCCCATTTGCTGTATACAGTATCACTTTGCTGCACCTCTCAGTGTTCACACTAAGTACTAATGTGAGTGGGTATGGGTTGGATTACCTCTCACTTCCTTGGATTTGTCTTTAATACAACTATAGGATATACTGTAAATTCCAAATATGTTCTTTAAATAGTTCCCTTTTGCTTCGTATGTATTGCTATTAATAGTTTTTGGAACTGCAGTAATTTAATCAAATATATTGATCCTCCTGTGATATGGTGACAAAACAAATCGTAAATTCCTAATGTTGTGGTACCGTTGTCAGCCTACTGTGCATGCTTCTGCCTTGGGGGGGTACAGGACAAAATGTCTATGAACACCATGCCATGAGGTTCCCTTGTCAGCAGGTGACATCACAGGCAGCCATTCTAGGCATGTCTATAAAGACCTCAGAGACATCAATAGAAGAGGAGCAAGGGTATCTGGGAATTCTCTTTCCAGAACTAGTAAAGTATTCCTTGAACTTGAAGTCTAGACAGAGCATAACAATAAAACAGGTCAGAACTCCACCTTCTTTCATCACTTTTGATTAGGTGGCTTTATCATGCTAAAGGGTCAGGGGACCTGCTATTACAATACCTAAACAAAAGCTAAGGAAATAAATGACTGAGCTGGTATACATCCATATGCTCTGGCCACCTGCTCACACTGCTGCAGGTATTTCATTAGGCATTTGAGATCCAGTTGAGCTCTTTCAAGTCATTTAATATAGCCTGACCTCAACATCTATATACTGTTAAGGGAAAGCAGAGAAAGAACACACAGCAACTAAAACACTTACACCTGGATTATGTTCAGCCACTCTCCTTACTGAGTAAATGAATCGCCATTAATGTTCTATTTTTCGCTTGCTAGAAGACCATATTACTGCGGTTTTAATTGCTTGAAAATTCAAACTGTAAAAGTAGCCAAATGTCCTCTCAAATAGAATTTGACAAACAATTGTAACATACCATCTGCAATTTTTTTTAGTTTTTTTTTTTTAAATACATATGGTACAACTGATAACATTAAAGTGGAACTTCAGTCAGAAATTTAAGTCCTGCTAGCTCACTTCAGGCTGGCTGGTTTTTGCAGGTCCAGCTATGTAAAGTATTAAAAATAAGTGTTTATACTGTTTAACCACTTGCCCTCTAGCGGATTTACCCCCCCTTCCTGACCAGGCCATTTTTTGCGATATGGCGCTGAGTTACTTTGACAATTGCGCGGTCATGCAACACTGCACCCAAATTAAGTTTATATCCTTTTATCCTTTTTTCCCGCAAATGGAGCTTTCTTTCTGTGGTATTTGATTGCCTGTGCATTATTTATTGTTTGCGCCATAAAAAAAAGAAAAGACTGACAATTTTTAGAAAAAAAACAAGTTTTGACTTTTTACTAGTAAACATGTCCAGTAAAAATATTTAAAAATTTTGTCATAAATTTAGGCCAAAATGTATTCTGCTACATGTCTTTGCTAAAAAAAGATCAAAATACGTGTAAATTAATTGGTTTATGTGAAAGTTAGAAAAGCGTCTACAAATGGCAGTATATAAACTGGAATTTTGTTTTTTAATATATATATACTAGTAATGCCGGTGATCAGCGACTTATTGCGGGACTGTGGCGGGCATTCTGATACTGGGGGAGAACTGACTGTCACTGACATCTCCAGTGACACTAATACAGTGATCAGTGCTAATAAAAAGCACTGACACTGTACTGACACAGGACAGGAAGGGGTTAACATCTGGGGCGATCAAAGGGTTAAATGTGTGCTGTATGTGTGTTTCACTGTGTTAGCACATTGCTTTGTATTGCTCTGCAAAAGCAATGTGCAGGAGCTGACAAGGGAGAGATCTGTATTGTTCAATCGTCAGGTGCTGGCAGGGAATCACCAGCCAGGACCTGGTGATCGACAGCTGAAGCCACCAATGGCAGCGCAGGTAGGGTGCGCGCGTCCCCTACCCAGAAATGCAAAATCGCACATATATATATGTGTGTGTGTGTGTGTGCGTATATGCGTGTGTATGTGTGTGTGATTTTGTGCAGCCCTGCCGCCCTGTAGCAGTATTTCTGCTATAGGGCAGCAAGAAAGCAGTTAAAATCCAGTGATACACTGTCTCACCCTGCCCATGCTCTGTTGCTCTCTATTTTTCAGCACTGTGCTGAAAATGTAGAGGCAGATCTGCTGACAGCCTAAAGATTTATTGCTGATCAGCGGTTCTGGGATTTAGAAAAATGGCAGCCTCCAGCAAGAAGACACAGGCACAATGCTGGAGACAATTTACAGCACAAAATAAGTTTGGTAGCATAATTATAAAAGTGGAATGTATGTTCCTGGCTAAAGAACATTATTTTTAATCAAGTTATGGGTAAAGTTCCAATTTAACTATGCTTAACCTCTTGTTACTCATGTAACACATACCTGTATGTGCATCGCCAAAGAGGGTGTCCACACATATGCATTTATGGACAGCCAAAGATTAAGTGGTGACAGCAAGCTCTCTGCATGCTCCCAGCACTGTGTTAGACATCTTCCTTTTTTGAAGAGACCATATGACTAGTTATTTGGTACTGGTCATATGACTGTCACCAGCGCAGCACTGAATTCAGCATTTTACAGCACAAGGTAAACTAGTCAAACTGTATCTTTAGATTAGAGAATAAATGGTACAGTCAATGCTGAAATAATTGTCAGTTGACCATTTCATTTAGGTTTTCTTAATTTCTCACCTCTGGTGAGGAAATGCCTACATGAATGGCATATATGCACACAGCTGCTCTAAATGGTCAATTATTAAAATGAAAGTAAAAGAGAGGGGTTTTTTTTTTGCATTAAGCTTAAGGGAAAATCAATCAGAAATAGTCACATGCAGCTGTGTATTTGGGTTGCAAGTTACACTTTCTCACCGTCAAGGTCAGTAGCTTGCCATAAGTAAGATGTGCTGGGATGTGGTCAGTCTTTGATCTCAGGGACTCCAAGTACCAGTGCTCAGCTTCAGACACCTTGTTCAACCTCATGTAGGCTTCTCCTGCGGAAAGATCAGAAAGGGGTTCAGAATGACTGGCATCAGTTTCTCAGTAGAAAAGGCAGACAAATTATTATCCAGAAAAAATGAGGAAGGGTTGTAACAGCGCAAACACTGCAAAGTCCTGGGAAATGGTAGTATGGGGTGATGGTGGTATTAGTGGCTACTGTATGAAGAGCGTAGGATTCCGTGTGGCACTGAGGACAAGGCTTCCAAATAAGCTGTAGCAACTTCTGTAGATGAGAAAAAGGAGAGAAGCGGGTTACCACCCCACCATTAACGATTGTTAACCACGGTTTTTATGCTTATGATTACTTCACACATGTGAGTGTTTCTACATTTAGACAAATTATTATCCACCTGGGTAGCAAAGAAACACAAAGAGGAAAGTTAAAATTAAATTCATGAATCCATGCTCTGCAGTTAATCTGAAAGCTGATAAACCACAGTTGGTATTTTCCCAGCTCTCCATACTGGCACCAGACCTATTAGGGACATTTACAAGGAAAAGTAGTTTCGTTATCAAGGTCCAGAATGCTCTTACAGAGAGTACATAGAAGAAAAAAATAGAGATAGCATTTAAAAAGAACGCACAGGCTAATTTAACTGTATTATTATTATTTGGAAAATTGAAGCAGACTAATACAAACATACCATAACGGGCCTGAAATGAATGCTGTCTAAAATAAAGTGAACTGAATTCAATAATAACACGTGTGAAAAAATATAAATGCTGCACCAGTCTACACTGAGAGGAAAATAAAACCACTAACATCATTTTATCTCCCATCTTAAGTGACAGTTGATACAACAATCAGTGATGTTCATGTGATGCAGTTTACCAGCTCTTGAACTTTTCTGTTTATAAAATGCAGCAGTTACTGGAGCCATCCATCTCTACGACAATAATAGCAAAAAGTAACATCTATTATTTTTTTAACAGCTATTCTACAGTATGTTGGTTCTCTGCATCGTCAGTTCACGGCACAGGGCTTTCAGTGCCAAAAATAATTGAAAAATAATGTTTCTCTACACTCTCCTGACCACTAAACTGAAAACTGAAGTGTAGGTAAAACAATTTTTTAATAGACATGGTTTAAAATCATTGTCTGTTTTTATTGCTGTCAGTTTCCTGTCAAGAAGACTTTCCATCACCTCCAGTGGAACTGAAGAAAATCTCCCCATCAGAGACAGCAATTAAAACTTGGCATGTTAGTGACTCTTACTATTTGCCAAGAAAGTGTTTTTGTTTTATGTTCCTGTTGGGGACATTTGCTATCATTTATTTTTACAAGTTGCATCAACACCAGTGAAGGGGAATCTTTTGAATGTAGACACATATGCCAGTGAACACCTGCAGGTTGCAATCCTTCCCTACTACTACTGGAAAAAAAGGCTAACCTTAGCTTCTAATTTCAGCCTGATTCTAACATTTATTCCTCCTATCAACCAAACTCGAAGCCTAACCACTAACATTAACACAACTCATACCACTAACAGAAACTCAATGCCTGACTCAAAGTTACTAATTAATCCTTAACACTTTCAAGTGGTTCTAAAGGCTGATGGTTTTTTTTACTTTCATGCATTCTATGCATAAAGGTAAAAAACATTCTGTGTGCAGCAGTGCCCCCAGCCCCCTCAATACTTAACTGAGCCTCTCTTCCTCTTCATTGGCTGAAACAGGAAACGGGAGCCATTGGTGCCTGCAGCTATTAGTTACAGCCAGTCAGCCAATGAGGTGATAGAGGGGGCGGGGCCAATCCACAGCTCCGTGTGTGAATGGACACACAAAACAGCGGGTGTCCCCATAGCAAGCTGCTTACTATGGGGCACCTGACAGAAAGGAGGAGCCAGGAGAGCCTGCAAGGGACCTGAGAAGAGAAGGATCCAGGCTGTCCTGTGCAAAACCCCTGTACACAATAGGGAAGTATAGCATGTTTGTTATTTTCCAAAAAAAAACAAAAAACCTTTAGAATCACTTTAATGTAATCAGATAGTTTTTTTACCAAATAAAACACATATTTTTGATGTATCCATCCAAAACTATGTATTTGATTATTTCCCCACCTGGGCCTCTCTAATACTATATATTATATTAAAAAAAGTGTTTTTTTTTCCCTCATATACATTAACTACAAAACTTCAGCACCATGTTTTGGAGGTACTGGTCCAATTTACCAACCAAAGGTCTGCATAGAGACAGATATATTTTTCTCATGCAAGGTATCAGGTTGCAGAAGCCATTGGGTCTCTTGCAACCTTTACAGATATGAGTAAAGACCACTTTTCTTTTGCACATTCTACAAAGAAAATAAATAACTACTACAGCACATATGATCTCTCCAGCTTTTTGCATCTCATTTATTCTACCTCCATTTTTGTTTTGCTCTGGAAAACTACACACACAAAAAAAGACCTGGCCTAACCTGAACACTTGGCTGGCTTTTAAAGTATAACTAAAGCCAATTTTTGATAGAGTAAGGGAGGGTTAAAAATGTCTTTTTTTTTGGTTATTGGCATCTCCTCAAGGAAATTTACCTTCACTTCCGTTCACTTAGAATCAACAGGAAGTGAGAAGATATCATTGGAAAGTGACAGATTTCCATTATTAGACTGTTGTCTCCATTTAATTCCCACTGATTATCCACAGTAATCAGTAAATCTCCCTAATATTGACACAGAAAGAAATAATAAAAAAAAAGCTAACAATATTTCTAACCACTCAGCATTCTATAAAAATAAAAAAAAAGCCTTAAGTTGTACTTTAACCTCACTCTAACCTTAAAATTTTCATTTGAAATGTGTTCCCAACAGCTAACATAAAAACTAAAACTTAGTGTGAACCTAAAAAAAAATCCAATGCACATCCAACATTTTCCCTTACTGCAGTCAGAAAAGGTTACCTTACACTCCCAGTACTTTTCTGTTGCCAAGGGCAGGTTCTATGAAAGGCATAGACATTGACTTGTTGCCTTCTCTTAAGCGATTTAATCTACCACTTAAGCCCCTAAATCCTAACCTTTACATTTAACATTTACCGCAATGCCAAGAAAAATTACTTCAGCTATTCCATACCACACCTGTGTCTGAAAGTGCTGAAGTATTTGCTAGCAATCCCAATGGCAGAAAGAGCTGGACGATTATTAAATATGTTTTCTCATCTCAGATGCACAAGGGGTATAAACTTTTAAACATAAGGCAGATTCATTTCCCAAAAAAAAGATAAAAAAGTGGCTTTTTATGTACTTCACATGTAATTTTAACAAAGCGAAACTGCAGCTTATTACCCAACAGCAACTTGATGGATGTAAAAGCCTACATACCACAGCACTGGAGATATAGACTGCAGATAATAGACAAACATACAGAAATAATAAAATATAAGGCAGCTATATGACATATTGTCATATCAGATGCAAAAGACTTCAGATGATGGTTAGCAAAGAATTCACATAATGATTATCAACACCTATTGGCTGATAAAGGGGTAGTCTCAGACCAGAATTATGGCTGGGTGAAGATTCTTCAAAACTTTGTATTCTTTTGAGATGAATCACTAAGGGAATATCCTATAAAATTCTTATTGCAAGTATGTACAGTAAGATAACCCCCTTGTTACACTTTCGAAGTGCCCAAGTACGAGGACTCCAGAAGTGCAGTTTGCCATGTCCACAGATCTTAACTGAGTAAAAAGCTTTTTACAATGTATCCACTTTTAATCCCTTTAAAAAAATCTTAACTGTTCTGATGGGAAATAGCTAATCACATCTAGGACATGCAATGGAAGTGCATCCATACTTCCCAACATTATGTGGTTCATAATGTTTGGAATTCAGCAAAAACAGTAAAATACACTTAAAATGTACAAATGTAAAATACATAGAATATACTACAGATAATGCAACATTGTCTGTACTGCTGGATTTTCAGGGTTATCGATGTTGGGCATCAGAAATAAATCACCCTGTTTTTTTTTTTCTTTCTAAAGAGAAAAGCTAGACATTCATTAAGGGATCATTCACACCAGAACGTGGTGCGTTTAAAATACACTGTAGTTGCGATCTGCAGCAGGTGTCAATTTTAAGTTAACAACACTCCAAAAAAACAGGTCACAAACGGGAGCACATGGTTGAGAAGTACCATGCAATCTGGTTGCAGTGTGTTTTTTTAAAGTAGTGCATGCCCTACTTTTGGTGTGGTCCAGTGAAATTCGGGGCATTCAAAATGAACAGGCTCAAACCACACCGCACTTCATCACATGTAAACTGGCTCTAATATTAGAATAGCAACCTTATGCTTTGCAATCAATTATTTGATTCCCTCTGAGAAAAGAAAAAAAACAGGTCACAAACTGGAGCACATGGTGTAGAAGTACCATGCAATCTGGTTGCAGTGTGTTTTTTTTAAAGTAGTGTGTGCCCTACTTTTGGTGCGGTCCAGTGAAATTCGGCCCATTCAAAATGAACAGGCTCAAATCACACCGCACTTCATCACATGTGAACTGGCTCTAATATGAGAATGGCAAGCTTATGCTTTGCAATCAATTACTTGATTCCCCCTGAGAGAAGAAAGTATAAAAAAATATAACATGAAATTATTTATGGTGCTTCCAGGTTACTTCCTCTGGAGAATATTTTATTAGTAAAAACATTTTGCTAATTTACAATGATTAATAGAAAGAGGAATATTTTTCCACTGGGATATGAAAAAGCATAGGAAGTTAGAGCTAGGTTTACCAAGAGTACATTTGGCTTACATTTGAAAATCCAAAATATTTAATTGTAATAAAATAATACTTTATTTTGCTGGAAGAGAACCACAATGAAACAGTATGCATCAGGCACAGATGTAAAACATTTAATAACATTTTTTTTTTTTTGCATTTCCTATTTCTTTTTAAAGTCTGACATTTACTGTTATCTGAAGTGCAAATTCTAATTTGCTGCAGATAAGTCTATGAAGTAACCCAATGGAAGGTCAAGGAGGAGT